TATCCCAAATCATCAGGTTCCTGGGTGAGGAGGGATAAACTGGCTCCCCTTCTTTATTTACCCACCCATTGGTTGGTCTTGACATGGTGAATTTAAAAAGAACCCTTATCTTGTGGATGCCTTTCTCCAAGAGCAAAAGAATTTGTATGTTAAAAGAAGCCAATGTAACCAGACTAACAGAAGAGTGAGTTTATTCATTGCTAAACATGAAAAGAAAGAGTAACACAACACAAATACAGAGATTGTGAATGCTTAATGAGTCCAAAAACAAAGATATACAAATCAAATATAATCAAGTAATCTACATCCAGTCATGAATGTTGGTGGACAATTAAACAACTTATAGGAGGCAGCGGCTGCACAAATATCCCCATGCTCGATGATGGAAAATCCCAGCGCATCAGTCCAAAATATAAGGCTAAAGCTTTCACAGCAATCTTCAGCCAGTGTCGAGTGGATGATCCATCCTGGTGTCTTCCAGTGGTCCCTAGTATCACAAACGCTAATCTTCACCCAATTCAATTCACTCCACGTCATAGAGAAAAGGTTGAAAGTACTAGATGCTGCAAACTTGATGCACCCACAACATTACCACAATAACATTGAAGACTTGGGGCTCCAGAATTTGTTGGACCCCTCGCCAAACTATTCCCGTATTGTTACACTATTGGCATATACCCAACAATGTGAAAAATTGCTGAGGTATGTCCTGTACACCAAAAGCAGGACAAATCCAACCTGGCCTATTACTGGCCTATCAGTCTCCTGTTAATCATCAGTAAAGTGATGGAAGGTGTCATCAACAGTGCTATCAAGCAGCCCCTGCTCAGAGACACTCAGTTTGGGTTCTGCCAGGGCCACTCAGTCCCTGATCTCATTACAGCCCTGGTTCAAACATGGACAAAAGAGCTGAATTTCAGAGGTGAGGTGAGAGTGACATCGAGGCTGCATTCAACTGAATGTGGCATCAAGGAGCCCTAGGAAAATTGGAATCAATTGATATTAGGGGCAAACTCTCCGCTGCTTGGAGTCATAGCTGACACATAGGAAGATGGTTGTGGATGTTGAAGGTCAGTCATCTCAGCTCCAGCAGTTCCTCAGGGTTGTGTCCTAGGCCCAACCATCTTCAGCTGCTTCATGAAAGACCTTCTCTCCATCATAAGGTCAGCGGTGGGGATGTTCACTGATGACTGCACGATGTTCGGCACCATGCATGACCCTTCAGATACTGAAGCAATCCATATTCAAATGCAAGAGGATCTGGACAATATCCAGGCTTGGGCTGAAAAGTGGCAAGTAACATTCATGCCACACAAATGCCAGGCAATGACCATCTCTAGAAGAGACAATCTGTCCACCACCCCTTGACATTCTTGCCATCACTGAATTGCCCACTATCAATATCCTTGGGGTTACCATTGACCAGAAACTCAACAGGACTCATCATATAAAAAATAGCAGCTACAAGAGCAGGTCAGAGGCCAGGATTTTGTGGTGAATAACTCACCTCCTGACTCCCCAAAGCCTGTCCACTATCTATAAGGCACAAGTCAGGAATGTGATGGAATACTCCCCACTTGCCTGGATGAGTGCAGCTCCAACTTCACTCAAGAACTTTGACAGCATCCAAGGCAAAGCAGCCTACTCGACTGGCATCACATCCACAAGCATCCACCTCTCCATCACCAATTCTCAGTAGCAGCAGCATGTACTATATACAAATTTCTGCACTGCAGAAATACACCAAATATCCTTCGAGAGCACCTTCCAAACCCAAAAGAGTTTGAGTAGATCCTGTGTCCCTTAATAAAGTTAGGGGTTAGGTTCATTGTCATAGAATCGTTCAGTGTGCAAACAGACCCTTCAGTCTAACTTGTCCACGCTGACCAAGTTTCCCAAACTAAACTATTCCCACCTGCCTGCATTTGACCCATATCCCTCTAAACCTTTCCTATTCATATACTTATCCAAATGTCTTTTAAATGTTGTAACTGTACCTGCATCGATCACTTTCTCTGGCAGTTCATTCCACATACCAATCATTCTCTGTGTGAAAAAGTTGCCCCTCAAATCGGTTTTAAAACTTTCTTCTCACCTTAAAAGTATGTCCCCTCATTTTGAACTACCCCACAAAAGGGAAAAGACTTTTGTTATTCACCTCATCTATGCCCCTTATGATTTTATAAACCTCCTTAAGGTCACCTCTCAATCTCTGAAAAAAAGTCCAAGCCTATCCAGCCTCTCCTTATAACTCAAGCCCTCCAGTCCTGGCAACATCTTGGTAAATCTTTTCTGAACCCTTTCCAATTTAATAACATCCTTTCTATAGCAGGGTGACGAGAACTGCACACAGTACTCCTGAAGAGGCCTCACCAATGTCTTGTACAAGTTCAACATGACATCCCATTACCTGTGCTCAACGGTCCTAGCAATGAAGGCAAGCGTGTTAAACTCATTCACAGGTATTTTGTGTTGGTCTTCACAGTGGAGGACCCAAATAACTTGTAGTGATTGATGACATAGAGACTTATGGGTGAGGACCTAGACACAATCATTATCATGAAAGCAGTAGTGTTGGGCAAGCTAATAGAACTAAAGGTAGAAAAGTCTCCTGGTCCTGATGAAATGCATCCCATGATACTAGAAGGATGGTGGAAGTAATAGTAAGTGCACTCATGGTAATTTTTCAAAATTTGCTGGACGCTGGGGCAGTTCTAGAAGATTGGAAAACAGCCAATGTGATGCCACTGTTTAAAAAAGGAGATAGACAAAAGATGGGGAATTGTAGGCTGGTTAGCTTAGATTCAAGCATTTTCCTCACTACAGAAGTTATCATCAAGGAAGAAATAGCAAGACATCTTGATAGAAACAGCCCCATAAAGCGAATGCAGCATGTGTTCATGAAAGGCAGGTCATGCTTGACTAATTTGCTGGAATTCTATGAAGACATTACGAGTGCGGTAGACAGTGGGGACCCAGAAGATGTGATGTATCTAGATTTCCAAAAGGCATTCAACAACGTGCTGCACAAAAGGCTGCTGCATAAAACAAAGGTGCATGGCATTATGGGCAATGCATTAGCACGGATAGAGGCTTGGTTAACTAATAGGAAGGAAAGAGTGGAGATAAATTAGTGCTTTTCTGATTGGCGAACAGTGACTAGTGGTGTGCCTCAGGGATCAGTGCTGGGACCGCAATTGCTTATAATTTACATAGATGATTCGGAGTTGGGGACCACATGTAGTGTGTCAAAGTTTGCAGATAACACTAAGATGAGTGGCACAGTAAAGCGTGCAGAGGACTCTGAAAGTTTGCAGAGGGATATAGATAGTTTAAGTGAGTGGGCAAAGGTCTGACAGATAGAATTCAATGTTAATAAATGTGAAGTCATCCATTTTGATAGGAATAACAGTAAGAAAAGGACTACTACTCTCACGGTAAAAATTGCAGCATGCTGCTGTGCAGAGGGACCTGGGTGTCCTTGTACATAAATCATAGAAGGTTGGTTTGCAGGTAAAACAGGTAATTAAGAAGGCAAATGGAATGGAATTTTGTCCTTAATTGCTATAGGGATTGAGTTTAAAAGCAGAGAGGTTATGTTGCAGCTGTATAGGGTGCTGGTGAGGCCACACCTGGAGTACTGAGTACAATTTTGGCTTTCTTACTTGAGAAAGGATGTACTGGCACTGGAGGGGGTGCAAAGGAGATTCACTAGGTTGATTCCAGAGTTAAGAGAGTTGGCTTATGAGGAGAGACTGGGTAGATGGAGATTATATTCATTGGAATTTAGAAGAATGAGGCAGGGATCTTATAGAAACATATAAAATTATGAAGGGAATAGATAAGATAGAAGTAAGGAGATTGTATGAACTGGTGGGTGAAACTAGAATGAGGGAGCATAACCTCAAAATGAGGGGGATCAGATTTAGGACGGAACTGAGGAGGATATTCTTCACCCAAAGGGTTGTGCATCTGTCAAATTCCGTGCCCAGTGAAGTAGTTGAGGCTTCCTCATTGAATGTTTTTGAAGCTAAGATAGATAATTTTTTGACTAGTAAAGGAATTAAGGGTAATGGCAAGAGGTAAGAGGCCATTAATAGATCAGCCATGATCTTAATGAATGGCAGAGCATGCTCGAAGCGCAAGATGGCCTACTCCTGTTCCTGGTTCTTATGTACAGCTCATCTGGCTTTGGAGTACCCATAATTTTCTTGCTGCTTGTCCAGCGAAATCGTTCCATCCATTAAGCTCACAGGAATATTTAGTTTTTGGTAAGATGTATTGTTAAGTCTCTCAGATAGTATGTTGTATACCGATAAGAGACAATTTTATGGTATTATCATTGCATGTGACCTGAAGATATATTAACCATCTTTACCAAGACTACTTGATGCATGACAGACTGCTGAAAATATGTTACTCTTTGTAACAGAATCAATTAATATTAGCCCAAACACTGAAGCGCCTGTGACTGTAATATGTATCAATATATATCAGGAACTATAATAAACATCTGTTGAATTTCTTTTCCAGTACATTAACCACATTTAGTTTTTTTTTTGTTACAGAAGCTAACGTAAGAATTTAACAAATACCCTACCGGAGGCAAAACTCACATCATAATAGCAGTTCATAATAAACAGCCATGACCCTTTATAAAAAGTTCTTACTATCTCTGATTAAGTTCTCAGTGCAAACACTTGGAAACCTCATTGAATATCAGCTCAATCTCAGCCCCAGACTTGAAACCATTTGAAAAATTAACAACATCATTTTTTTCCTGCAAATACAGAACTGGAAATTGAACTGCCTAAAGGCAAAACTTCTTACTTTCAGCTTAAAATCTAACTTCTATCAGTTCAGAAGACCTGCCTATTCTCTTTTAAAAAAAAACCATCAGCTGCTTTTCAATTGAGAACTAGAAATGGGCTGTCAAAAGCAAAGCTCTCCCAAAAAATGTCTCAGCTTTTAAAACAGTTTTCCAAACGAACCAGGCTCACCTCTGTGGATCAATTGATTCCACCATTTTGTCTTTCCAATTTGGAATCAGTCCAGAGGGAAACATGCATGATGTCATCATTCCTTATGCTTGTTGTGACTGCTATCTAGTGGTAGAAATCTGCTACAACAGGCTCCTGTTCTTAATGGGACAGTCTGAAGTGTGACAGTCTAAATCCTGTGAAAAAGCATACGGTAAAAAATGAAGCAACATAACAGTAGAAAAGGATTAAAAAGAGAGAAATGCAAAACAAGTAAAAGAAAACAAACAGCAAACAAACCCTGCACATTCTAGTTTAAAGAAAATAAAAAGCTTTTCAACACGAAATTGAAAGCAAATACTGTAAATTGGGACCAGGGAGCCAATGATAGCCTGACTGAATTACAGCTATTCAAGCAACATATTCTGCTTTATTTTACAGATTGACCAATGAATGTTCCCAAGAAAAAATCTCTGAAAATGTCATCTGCCACTGACAATGAAGGTCTTCACAGAATTAATACATTAGTCTTTCCGTGAAAGATCAGGAAGATCTAGAAAAGGTCTGGAGGGTACTCAAACACCCTACTCAAGGTAAGGATCAGGGTTGACCAACTCCAATTCATGTTATACAGACAGAAGCCCTAAGAATCTGTTGATGAGTTTGTACAAGATGCCACAGAAGAGAGTATGAGTGGGCTTTCGCTGAACTAACAGAGAAGCTCATCAAATTAGTAATTGCCAAGGATCTTCTACACAAAAGATAGTGCCTTACTTGAAGACAGACATGTAACGTAAGACAGATGGCAACAATTACATGCTTTAGGTGCAACCAACATGACTGCTACACTTTGAAAAGTGTATCACTTTAACAAAATCTATAACAGATGTAGTTTGGCACCTACCTAAAAGCTGTCCAGCTTTCCTTTGCATCTGTAAATCAATCGATGCCAAAGTACTTTGGGCACCCATCTGCAGGAAATCTCATTTCAAAAGTCAAGCCAGATCTCAAACAAAATACAGGTCACCTACAAGATGGTACAAAAACACATCACTGGCTGGAAAGAAAGAATTTAAAACACGCGCAAACACAAACACATTGCCGAAGTGCACATTCAACTGAAGTAAAGGCAAATTTCTGAAGATGACCAAATTTTCCACATCATTAACCGTGCATGCCCAAGTTAAAAGTATAAAGCAATTAGAAGCATTTTCAACTGTTCTGAAAGGGCACGTTGACGGACTCTAAAAGCTAAAATCAACACTGAGCCAGTGCGAACGTATTATCACTCCACATCTTGAAGGACATATACCTCAGAAAGTGTACATGTTACAGCCTATGTGAGATCATCTCCTAATATACAATGGATCACCAGCTCTGTGCGATGCTACGATCACACTGCAGTGTCAATACACAAGCTCACCCTGACTTCCCAATTTCTTCTACTAGTGATCCAGCAGCAGCAGTACTGCCAGCATGCCCAGATCCTGGTGTAGTCACATTTCATAGGATACTAACTACACCCACTGTGGTGGAACAGACCAGGCATAGCGCAATTCAATTCGTCAAATTTGAAGATTTCTCAACTGATCTGTTACACTTTGGCCACAGCCAGCGTGAATAGTTGCAATTGGCAACTGCTGGACATGAGCAATATAAGAATTGCAGAAGATCCAGCAGTACCCTGACAGATTTAACAAAATAACTGAGAACATTTGATCATCTTGGCCAAACAGTGATATACCTGGCATATCATAACCAGTAATTTTCAAAAGCAAACAAGTCCTAATACAAAAGCGTTACACCAGCAACACATGATGTTTGTACTGGACAGGGATGACTCAGGATATTCAATAACTCATGAATGCACGAGGCAGCCAACATAACAACACCAACAACAGATCTATGCCCACAATATTCCATCCACTCTTGGACAAAAATAACAAAAGACATACTCACAGTGTATGGGAAAGACTACATCACTGGAGATTACTTTTCCAAATTTACAATTGTTTGATGACTTAGCAACACAACATGTACAGCTATCACTGATGCAATGACCACTACCTACAGATTATTCGGTATCCCGGAATGAGGATAATGGCTGACAATGATCCACAGTTCACCGGCAAACCATTTCAAAATGTGTGCTAAGTAGAGAGTGACAAATATCATGCTGTCATCCCACTATCCTTACACAAAGAGTCTAGCAGAAAAATGGTATGCATGATCAAATCAATGATTATTCAATCTCAAGCAACAATAATTTTATATTGCTTTGCTACATTTTTGTACAACACTAATGGGGAAGGGATAACCATCCCCAGCACAACTTATAGTTGCCCAGCAACTAATTATCTATAACCATCCCAAAATACAGACCTTTTTCTTCAAAGACTTAGAAGAATGAAAGAGATACACATTGTGCAAGCAGATAGAGAACTATCACAACTGTGCACTGGACAGACAGTGCCTAATTGCATGTCACAATACAGAGACAAATTTATTTTCTCTCTCCACTGTTGCCCTTAAATGGAATAAAACCAGTTTTTATAATTTCTTTCCTTCTGTGTGTTTTTCTCACTACTATTCTCTTCCTGTGACTTTGCCACTCTCTCATTCCTTCATTGTTTTTCTCACTTTTTCTGTGTGTCTGTTACTCTTTCAGGTGAAGTTATTTTACAGTAAATAGGGTGAGGATTTTACACATGTGAACAAACTGTAATAGGATACCTCTGCCATTTCCATCTCCTTCCCCATCCCAGTATCTACATTAATGAGTGTGCTATTTTAAACATCTCTGCACTCTTCAGGCCTCTAAATAACTAATCAGTGTACATTGAGCAATTTAAGGCAAAGCAGAGCTATCAGATACAAAACTGAGCCCTCATATATTGCTTTCTCTCAAACTGACTTTCAAATTCTGCCATGTTGCGATTACTACCTCATAGTGGATCCTTAACTATGACATCTCTTATTAATCCTACTCACTACAAGTTACTGGATCTAAAATAGCCTGCTTCCATGTTGGTTCGACAATGTGCCACTCTAAGAAACAAAATTTCCCATCAATTGTCCCCACTATTTAGTATAAAGCCCTATCGATAACCCTGGGTATACAATTCACTAGAACACTGGTCCCAGCATTGTTCAAGTGAAACTCATCCCAATGGAACAGCTCTCTCTTCCCTATTACCAGCTACTTTCTATCCCTCAGGATGCAACTTAAGCCAGCCCTGATGCAAAGCACCCTTTCTTCAGTTTCCTTTTTGCTACAATTTTCTGCATATTTAAAGCGGTAAATATGGAGTGTTTTTAATAAATAAATAGAAGCTAATTTAGAAGCTGAACAGGCAGGAAGTGTGGCCATGAGTGAATTGAGGTGGTGGTCTAATTCACATCTGTATTATTTTCCTGAAATTATTGTCTGCATGTGGATTATTTTAATGTTTACACAATACTCTGGAATGAATATTTTCATAATATGAGGAGGAAAGACTTACTGTAATCCAAAAATAATGTTATCAGATTTCCAGCACCTAATGATATTTTCTGGTAGTTTGGTTTGTCTCACTGCTTTATGTAAGTCAGTTAAGAACGTTGCAAAGCTAAAATGACATAAGTGTTGGTTGGTCATAAAGGTTCAGTTCACTTGATTATATCATAGTTGCTGCAAACACTACTAAATGGACTCTCAGTCTGTTTTATTTTAAAAGTGATCCCTCTGAGGCACAGAATTTTCAAAATGCCTGTGGGTGTAATTAGCTCCCACATGTCCAAAGCCATTAGTGTCCCAACTTGTCATTACAGCCTGTTCCCTCCAGACTTTTCCTGAAGATGGTAGCCATCAGTTTGGACTCGTTGACCAGAAGTTTCTATTTTTACATTGCCAGCTTGAGAATTTCCACTTATTTACTTTAATGACTAGAAAATCATGGGTTGAAAGACACAAAGCAAAACAATTCTCATGATTATTATTCATCAAAAAGTGGTCCCCAATCTTCCCAAACACCATAGGTGATGAGGGTGTACATAAATGACAGGAAATGACCAACGAATCCATTCAACATTTCTTATATTGGCACGATGAATATGAGTGGATGGAAGGGGTGAAGACGAGATGGTGAATGTCAGGGAGCAAGAGGATGGGACAAGGAGGGAGCTTTAAAATGGCCAGAAAGTTAACAAATATCGATGAGTTCCAGAGTACATTGGGAGTACCAAGGCAGCAGCACCGCCTGCAGCAACTTAGGGCCTGAAACTGCCAGAAAACTGCCTTCCAACAGTTTTGAGTCAAAGGTAGGAATGGAACCTCAGGGTTAGTCCCATCTCCCAGTCTGACCTCCAACATGAAAATCCATCACCATTCATCTGTACTCATTTAACAACAAGAAACTGCTTTGTCAACAGTGATCTTTGTCTGATGATGTAGTTTGAGTTACAGATCAATTTCTCACACGCTGAAGACTATTTATGAACATAGTGCTTAAAAATAGTTTCTTTTTAGGCACAGACAGTGTCTGTTTTGTTGCTTGGAAATGTAGAGTCACTGCTCGTTGATATCATATGGCCGACTATAACTCATGCTCACAAGTGACATCAAAAGAGGACATTACTGTCTGCCTCTTTAATGTCTGTGTAGTTACATAAACCACTTCAGAGGGCAGAACCTTTGGACTCATTAATGTAATTGGTTGTATATGTCTTGATGTTATTCTGTAAAATTTTACCATAGGACTGTGAGCCATATTTGTACAAATTCTTCTGTTTACTATTTTAGTGGGAGGTGGTAACTCACTGTGATGTGGGATCTGACAGGTTCTATTCTGGTCAGAATAGCTAAAAGGACTAACAAGAAGTCTCTATTACAGAAGCATCATAATAGGCATTTCATTTGGATTTTGGATCACTTGAGTGTTCTCTTGGTTTTCCCGGAAGGTGCTGATCGATATTCAGTTCTAATTTCATCGACTCTATGTAGTCCCAGTGCAACTGTTACACGCCTGTTCAAGAAGAACAAACTCAATAGCAACAGGCCAAACAACTAAAAGTCGGTGGTG